AGTCCGCCGGAGAGAACGAATAGACAAACGGACCGACCGTACATCATGACTTGGCCTTCACGTGAAAACGCTGTTACGTTTTATGGGGTTGTGCTTGGATTTTTGGAATTTTCTTTTGAAAACTTATTATTATTATAATCTTATTCATTTCTAGGGAAGCGGAATAAAACTCAAGATGCTTACGATAGTACTTCGATTTCGTTCGAAGGCGAAAGGTGTGAACATCTTTTAGTACATCCGTCTGATGATATTTTGTAACAGTAACAACCTGTTGTACTTTGACGGCTGTTGATAAACTGAAAGGCGTAGGTGAAACCCTGTACAGAAAGGGAAAAAACGGGTAGAAAGAAATTTTGAATGAGAGCAAAGTTTATGTCGTGGGTTTAATATTATACTGTCGTAAAATTCCTGAAGAGATGGTTTCTGTAAAATACGATATTACGCTTTTCAATTATTAATCGGATTCCTTCGGGGAGGGTGGTGAGTACAGAATTCGCGTAGCCACCTGACATGGCATATCTCACCTTTAAAGTTGCGTGGAAGCAAAGCCATCCGCTGACCAGAGCCTTACAAAAGCTATCTGCCATCCATACCGTCCAATCGCCAGAAGGGCAGATAAGAACGTGAAGAGGACTGAGGTTTGCAAGTCGACAGTGGGTGATGATCTGTTATTCGCTACACCGGCCGAGCAAGAATGGCGCGAGAATCTTTTCGTGACGTACACCATACGCTCACGAGTTGGAAAAGTACAACGCATGCCCAAATCTCCGAGTCGACTGCTGACCAAGTTTTGTTGGCAGCTTATCGTGCACATGTACTGCAGGTTCTTTTTACCAAAATGTGACATGACATCATCAAGACCTCGGGCTCAGCCTATTTGTAGAGAGGCGTGCCGGGAATTTAAGAGCCAGTGTCAGAAAGAATGGACTCAGGCACAAAGGAAATTCAAGAGTGTGTCGTGGGCTGTGCAGAAACTTGCATCTGGGTTGGAAAGAAGTTCTTCGCTTATGTGGTGCAAGGACCTGCCCAGACAAAGAGGACCAGATATTCCAGAATGTTATTATCCTAAGATGTTGCAAGGTATTTCTTATTAATTCATTATGAGACTGTACTTGCCATTATGTGCGATGAGAGTGTAATCAACAGGGGCAAGAGATTATACTCTCTTGACAGGGGACGTGTGCCAGTAATTTTCGTTCTTATTCAGAGTTTAGCAGAAGGAGACTTTGAAATAGAAAATTAAAAAAATAATGCCATTCAATATGATGTGTAGATTGTAATAGTTTTAGTCTAATGATGATGGTCCATCCGTTCAAATGCTTTTTTTTTGCACCTAGATTAATTTGATTTTCTCGCTTCTCATTTTCAGAAAAGAAAGAAAAACCTCGACCGTTTACGGGTAAGCACATGAGGAGTGTCTTAATAACTTTTGCTCGCTAAAATTCACAGAAAGTGTAATACTTTAATCCAAGAAGATGTTCCAAATATCTGATGGATAGCGAGTGAGACTGAAATCTTTATCGAACTGACGTGCTTCTATAATTGCAAAACCTCTCTTTAGACACTCGTTTTTTTTTCAGTTTGAAATTCTCGAAAAACATACCATGGGGAATATTTAGAGAATTCATTGACTTAACCCATAATTATTATTTGGCAATGTTCACCAAACACCTTGTCCGTCATTACGCAACCATTTGTAGGTTTCCAAAACACGCCGTGGTACAAAGATCACTCTACGAGGTAATGGTTGGTAACTAGATTAAAGTAGTGAACAGGCCCCTGATCAGTCAGTCTTTGCTGTTTCAGTGCATTGGATTTCCGATCACTCTAAAGCTCAGCCAGTTTTAAGCTAGTCAACGCTTTCCCACCCACCGGCACCGCCTTCAGTGGTTTACTTTATTTATAGGGACTTTAAGCGAACCACGACGGCTACGGCAACGAAAACGTGGAAAAACAATAGATCTAATCGGCAGAACAATAGCCCAGCACGTGCGTTTTCAAACTTTGTACATTTCTTAGCCGTCCTTTGCAAAACAACAACGTGAAATCACCAAAATCTGCGTCGTCTGCGTAGCTAAACCGCGGCGGCAAGTTATTTTAATTTACATTTGGAACTCAACGCTACTTTTATGCGTTATGTTGAGTTTGAGGTCTGGCGCCCCCTGAGACGGTAAACACATGCAGCCATTTTCGAAGTTCTAACTAAAAGTAGAAACTCATCTTTTAATCGACGTCTTCCGTGGCGTTGCCGTCCTGACTGCTTAAAGTCCCTGATTTCTAGCGTCAGTCGGCGTCTCGTTCTGCTAGTCATTAAAACTGTGTTGCTCAAACATTGTAGTCTATGTGATATGATAAAATGATAAAATACAAAAACACTAGTATTCACTCGATGTGAAAGCTAAATATATATACATATATATGCAAGGATGTTTTAACAGCGCTTAACCGACAGTAAACAATTAGAAACTGAGTGGCCCTCTAACTTGGAAAATAAACGCGAACGTAATATCTATAACCCCCCATTGGCAGGAGACAGTCCAGCTGGTTGCATACAATTGTAGTTAAGGAGTTGAACTTGGAGCAACCGAGAACAAATCCAGTGAGTGGCAGGGTGAAGGAATTGAACCCGCGACCGCCATAATAGAAGTTCAGCGCCCTAACCACTCAGCCACACTGCCTCCTTATGTTACCTTATAGGTAATGATTAGTTTAGCAATTCCACGAAATAGCAAAGCCGCTCTTAGTAGCTTAAAGCAAGTATAGCTAACAAAAAAATGTCTCTAACGAATTGATCAATATTGTAGACACGTCATTCATCCAGGTTCAGTTCAAATGAGGAATTTTTAAATCTTTTTCTGGAATTTTGGTCTTAATTATTAACAGATGTTTCGATTGAAACCATCAGTCTTCATCAGTGCAGTTTGTCACGTGGTAGATCACTATCACGTGACAAACGTCGGGGAACGGAGACGAGGGCCCGGTCTAAGTGTGAGACAGAGAGAACAGCAGCCCCCCCCCCCCTTTGTGTTCAGGGTTGGGTCCTCCACCCTTTCCCATATCGCTTCTTTTATCCTCCTCCTTCGCCAATCTCGTTCTTTATCTAGGGACTCCCTTCGAATCCAACACGTGTCCCACCCTCAACAGAAAGGGGGGGCTCCGGTTCTCTCTGCCTCACACCTGGGACCGGGCTCTCGTCTCCATTCCCCGACGTTTTGTCACGTGATAGTGATCTGCCAAGTGACAAACTGCATCGATGAAGACGGATGGTTTCAGTCGAAACGTCTGTTAATAATTGAGGCCAAAATTCCAGAAAAATATTTAAAAGTTCCTTATTTTAGACACTTGTTTCCATGATGACGGCCGGACATACCGCGGCAATGTGTCTGTGACACGATCTGGTTACAAGTGCCAGTCCTGGACTTCCCAGTGTCCTCATCGACACCACAGAACACCAGAAAACTTTCCTGAACTGAATGGCGCTGGCAATGCATGTCGGAATCCTGGTGGTCAGGCCCCTAACGGTCCCTGGTGTTACACCACAACTGTGAATCAGAGATGGGAGTATTGTAATGTGATCAACTGTGAAACACTAAAGAAAAGCAAAGGTTTGTTTCATAGATGATTTCTGAAGCTTACAAGGCTCCAGTGTGTTATGTTTCCGACTCGCCTAACGCCCAATCAAACATAGCAGTTTAAGTTCTTACTTGAATCCAATGCCATATAAAGTTCGCTATGAGCTACATGAATACGTTGAGATTAGTCCGACCTGAGCGACGGGAAGTATTTTTTCCAAAAAATCATATCCCTAAACGAAATGGAAAAAGATTAAAGAATTCATGTAAAGCGCAGTAGCATCTCCATCACGGTGTACTGTCTAGTTAATGTGATCAACTCTTAAATATAGTTGGTCCCGCACGGTATCAAACAAGCGCCAAACACTTTAAAGATAAATAGTTACGCATAGCGCGGTATTTAATGAGTCAGTTTTCTCCCAGTCTATGTCTTTCAGGGACCTTTTTGCTGCATCTTAGGCCCATTTCTTTTCTATCTTTTCACAGGATGAGACGATGAAAAACGGCTTACGTCCCGTGAAGAAAACTGGTATTAAAGCCCAATTAAAAATAAAATGAAAAAACTTCCGGCTAAAAAACTGTCAACCTAGTTCCCAGGGCCTATTTCCTTAGTTGGGGATGGCGCCCCACCCCCAACTAAAGGAAAAGGCTCTGGTAACGAGGTTGAAAAACTGTCTCCTTTACCCAACCACCTCCTTCAAAGAAGCATAGAGTGGTCAGTAAACGTACATATATAGCAATTAAAGGAGATGTTTGACAATACTTTTAACTTCTCTTTTTTTTTTAATTGGTTGCGTGTTAAAGAAAAATATTGCTATGGTTTCATTCGTGAAATGCACCAACGTTATTTAGGTCTGTCGTGACACACAAAGTAAACTTTCGCGTGAAGGAGACCGGGGGCTGCTCCCATACGTGGCCTAAACGGGTTTGAGCCATTCAACCGATAAACGGAACCCTTACCAAGGTGTGCACCTAACTGTGTTTAGTCAACTTGGGTGATCTTGGCACTTGCTTTGACAGATGTCTTTTAAATAACTTAGTATGGTAGACGCCTGTATTTCTCTGAGACAGATAAGCCACAATCCATACAATTTCTTTTCTCACATAGGGTGATGAAAGGAAGGAATTTTATCATTAGCAGAGTCTGAGTAATTAGACCTTACCGCGAACTTTTCAAAAAGCGTGGAGACTACATGATTTGATTCTGGCGAAGACAGTATTAAAAGGAAGGATTGCCCAATAACAATCTTCAATAAAATGAGCCTAATCCTTTGACTATACATGAAGGTCGCGCTTATATCGCAACGTTTCACAGTGACACTCTTAACCCTTTACCAGTAAGTTACCAGCGATTAATTTCCTATTACAATATCACTCCTGAATGAAACATCTAGGGCATGAGAAGTGAAGAATTTGGTTCTCAACGAAATTCCACTTTTAATTGTTAAACAAAAAATTCTCCTTGTGAGTGCCATAGGAAAAGTATGGGTAACAGTATGGCAAATATACATTCTGATGATAGGGCACTTTGTATAAAGGTTAAACATCGCGCTAAGCCACTCCTGTAGCTATATCAAAATATGGTGAAGAACGATGACTTGCCGTCGCAACATATTCATTAGGAAGAACGCTGAAGCGGCTGGTGAGCTCTGAGTATAATTTGGTTTCTTAATCGGTTCTTACTACCTTAAAGGTGAAGCGCTGAATCGGAACTTTCAGCTATTTGAAGACGTGCTTCAGCTGCATTAAAACTCAGCATTACTTTCATTTGACACTTCCCACACGCCAGTCCAAAATGTACACTTTCATATCTTTTTGGAAAATGTTCAACTTCAAGCTGGGACCAACGTATCGACGATGTCTTAAAACGGGGGTCGGAAGATTTCAGACAATTCAGATTTTTTGCTTTCACGCAGCGATTTATCATTCGGCGTGTCTGTGTGTTACGAAAGAAGATGTAAGAGAATTACTTGTTACTTAATATAGAGTAGTTTTACTTTCAGTCACAGCATCCATCCGAAAACGTAATTTTAGAAACATCAACGGTGAAAAAATCCTTTGAATAACGGAAAAAACGTATGGCCAAGTCGAGGTGAAAAATCAAGTTTATGCTATTTCTTAGTAGCCCTCAAAAGATCTGAATGCAATTAAACCACGTACAATTTTTTTTTATCGCTACAACTCATTATTAATCGGAAACATTACGGAAGGGTGTGTCGCGAAGAGGTCACGAAATTCTTGGTTAATGTCTACTTAAGGTTGGTGGTTTCTGCCGGAGTTGAACAAAATGGCCGATAGCCAATTCGGATGGCTGCTGTTATATTTTATGACCATATGGAAAGTGGCTTTAGGACAAATAGGCAACTATTCTTTCGATAGAGGTAAGGTTTTGAGGGAGATATTCGACAAAGCTTCTCAAACTCAAATGTCATCGATAAAAATACCTGGTAGAAAAAATTTGTCTGTCAAATTTTCTGATTCTTACGGTCAATGGTTCGTTGGAAAAATTTGAAGAGCGGTTTTCTCGATCTCTTTGGTGGGTTTTGAATTGGAACAACAAAGAGCCACGGTAGTTGGTTCCATGCATTTTACAAACGGTTTTTCTTCTATGAATAAGACTCCGTGTCAAAGTCATTCATATTCCTCTCCAAATTTCGGTGTTTGTTGTAAGTTTACTCGTTGTCAATCTCTAAAATATTTTTTTTGGAAGCCTTTAATTAATCTATAAATTGGATTTTTGATCTTTGAATTTTCAAAGTACCAAAACCTGCGAACTGTTATTCCTTTTTTTAAACTCGTTATCAAAGAAATACTGACAGGCGATGTACAGACGATAAAAGCATTCATTCATGCCGGATCAAAACGAGTCCGTCCGACTGGAAGGACTGACAAGGCTTCCATTACAGAAGTAAACCAGCTCTTCTGTCTAAAATAGTATTATAGTCAAACAAGAGCAATAATCATACTGAAAACAAATGTTTGGCAGACACCACAATCCCTACTTCGCCAACTGTAAAATATTTGTTTTTCTAATTTGATTAACTGATACTAACAGCTTCGAATGACTTCCTTTCTTCAAGTATCAGGTGAAACATCTTCATTTTGGGACCAAAATTGTAGACTAGTTTTTTCCTTTTTTATCATAACTTAGACGGATTTCATTGTTAAATAAATTCACGAAGCTATTCGCCAGTGAATAGGATGTTTCATTGAGATAATGCTGGGAAAAGGTAATAACGAACATTTCGAGACAGTCAAGGTTAAATTTACCACCTAGACGTGTAATACAGTAATCATTCCTTAATATTGCATTACGCGTCCTTGATGTGCACTATTTGAAACGCAACTCATTGACAGGTTTCTTATTACTTTTGAACTCCGCCAGGGAGAATCTAAAATCGTCTTTGCACCAGATTGTGCTTTACTTCGCCTCATACCGATCAACGTTGTCCTAACTGCCTTGTCGT